ACGAGTCAGGTCTGTGAGACTCTACCAAACAAAAAATACAACGGGTGTGGCGGTCAGGTGGAGCGAGTTTACTACCGCAACGTTGACACCTGTTAAAAAAGCCCCACTTTTTCTCCATAGAACAAAAAAGTAGTGGAGAAAGAAGGGGGGGGGGGGTAAAGCCTGAAGGCTGGCTGAGGTAAACGAAACTTTCCCCCGTCAGGAAAAACAAAGTTTTTGGTTTTTTTAAGTTTTGTAGGTAGCGAAGGAGTAACACAAAAAGGTAGAAGAATGAGGAAAAAATCCTAAGAGCCGTGAGGCAAAAAGCCAAACTAACGAACCGATCAGACTGACGAAGAAAAGGTATTTCCAACGCGGCGGTAAGAAAGGAACTGGCGGGATGCCCACGCCCACCCCTCTGGGCATGCGCGGTGAGGTTCCTGCGCATGCCCGAGGTCTGGGCGTGAAAATCTGTTAAAAGAGCTTGCTACAACACCAATCGATCCAGCACGTGCGCACTAGATCCCATGGGTGTGAAGCACAGAGACCACATCGAAGATTTAGATAAACATATGGAGCAGAAGTCCATCAGTGGCTATTAGCCACAAGGTATAGATAGGAACTCTCAGGCTGGAACAAGGGATGCTCTGTATTCATGGTGCTGGTGGGGGGGCAACAGTGGGAGGGCTTCTAGTGTCCTGGCCCCACTGCTGGATCTCCTGATGGCCCCTGGTATTTTTGACCACTGTGTGACAGAGTATTGGACTAGATGGGCCATTGGCCTGATCCAACATTGGCTTCTCTTATGTTCTTATGTTAAATAGGACAGTATACACTATACAGTGGAGTTCTGCAATCTCTAGCATAATGATAGAGGGTTTTATTTATTTATTTATTTCAATTTATACCCCGCCCTTCCTATCAAGAAACTATGGCTTCTACGGGTGGAGAGAGTTGATAAAAAGACAATTTTCTCCCTCTCCCAAAATACTAGCACTTGAGGGCATCCAATGAAGCTGATGGGCAGTAGGTTCAAGACAGACAAAAGGAAATACTATTTTACACAGAGAATGATTAAATATGGAGTTTGCTGCCAGAGGATGTAGTCACAGCCACAGGAATAAGCAGCTTGAAAATGGGATTAGATGGATTCATGGAGGATTAGTCTATCAATGGCTACTAGCTATGGTGACTGAGTGGAACCTCCACACACAGAGGCACTAAACCTCTGGATCCCAGAGCCAGGAGGCAACATCAGGGGAAGGCCTCAGCCTCTACACCCTGTTGTTGGCCCTGCAGAGGAAATGACTGGCCACTGCATGAGACAGGATTGCTGGACTGATGGACCATTGGTCTGACCCAGCAGTGCTCTTCCTAACAAAGCAACATGCAAAATAACTACACATTTTTCAGCAATAATTAATATATTAATGGAACAAAGACGGGAGAAGGTGACCCACAAAAGCCAAAATGGTGCTCAACTGGTCTATGGTGTCTATAGCAGAAGGCAGGCTAGTTTAGGCAAGCCTTTAATTGGTCAGGTCACCAGTTTGCGAACCTGAACATATCAGATGCAGTGGCAATTCCAGTCTGTTCTCCTGTCACTATGAAGTGAATATACAACACATATTCAAATGATCACAACAGTGATTCACAGAGGTAAAGGAAAGAAATACACAAACAGTAGAGGGAGATATTTCACTTGATCAAATATTGGTAACTATTTTTAAAGCATTATTAGAACAACAAAGAGATACTATGATTCTCAATAGGTGTGATATATCTGCTAATTATACAAAAGTGGAATGCTCAGTGTTTTGGCCTTCAAGCATCTATGAAACAACATGCAGGAAGCTGTCAATTCTGTGACGCAAATATTTAATACAGTTTTAATACCAAGATAGCTAACAACTCAAAAGCTAACAGAGGGTGTGGGCCTTTGAATAGTTTTAATGACCGAATTAAAACTTTTGTCTGGAGATGAGGGGAGAAGTCAGTAGTGGTCCTCTGCCCACCTCTTACTCCCTTTCACTGTGGTGAAACTTGCAGTACTTTGGGGGAAGGGATACAACTTTGCTGTTCACACCCTGCACGCTTTTTCAAAATTCTAACTATTTGCCTTCACTTTTCCTAAGGCAGAGAAAAAAATCTTATTTTCAAGTTAGGATGGGAAAGTAAACATTTTTCCAATTGATCTGCATAAGAGGCTTAACAGTAATAATAAAATGTTAGGTTCCATTACTTCATTTCAATAAACTATTTATTGGCCCCTTAGGAGGGTCTGTCCTCTTGTTTCTTCTATTGACTAGTGCTGTCTTTCCATTTTCTCTTTCTTTTAGTTGATCCAGAAATTTCCTACATCACTGCTTTAATATGTTCTGCACATGAATTTACTGTTATAGGGGGGGTTTAATTTGAAAAACCTAGGCTACTGCTGATTTAAAAAACAAAACAAATAAACCACCGGTATTGGTTGCTGTTTCCAGGTAACTGGCAGCAGTGTCCAATAAAATTGCCTGGAAGATGTTTAAAGGAAAATCATGCAGCCACGGGTTCCTTCGAAGAGAGTTTCTTTTTAACAAAATCTGAAATCCTAATTGTGTCAAAGGTCAGCAGGCAGCCACTTACACTCTTCTTGGAGAACTTGAGACAGATTTTCTCTACTTGGATACCAGCCATCTAAGATGAGAGGCTCTTGAATCAGAGGAGCAGGTGGCTCATTCTAGTTGAACTGCTACCAATTTTCTTTTGAAGATTCCCCCAGTTTTGTTGTCTAAAGAGCATATATGGGATACACTATCAACTTGTATGAAGAACATTTTGAACAAAATGAATTGTAGCATTTCACTAAGGCTATGAAAGCCAACAATACTTTCCGTTTGCAGTGTGCGCTTAAATTCGATTCATATTTCTTGGCAGAGTTATTATACCATCTGGCGTTCCCCAGTAGGACTGGATCACCACCAAGGTTTAGAATAGATTAGTAGGGCTGTCTGGGTCACCAATTCCAGAAAGGGAGCCATCGTTTTATGAAGCACAGCATAGTAGTCTCCCTTTTTTGTGACTTTGTGTATAACACACACTTGTCTAATTGGGGGAATCTCTTAGAAGACTGAGAAATCCAGCATAATTTCTCTTTTAACTGTAGACATTCTTTATTGATGTATGTTAAGTCCCTATTACTTTCAAGTCTTTACAAACAGTAAGCATCAAGACACTTTTTAATGTGCTAAAACAAAAATTAGTACTAAACACAACGGGACCACAGAGATGACTTTAATTTAGATAATGTTTACGCTGATCTTAGCCAAAAGGCCGAGTACAAATCAAAACCAAAATATCCCATGTAAATAACAATTGTTCAAGGTCTACTAACACACAAAGTTTTTACTAAAGGCGTATGTCTCAAACACAATGCATGAATCAAAAACAATACATGAAATAAACTGTGAATATTCTAATATGCTCCACTACTGCTTATAGCTAAGGCTTGAAATGATACAAAGAGAGCCTTCCCAGGTTAGACCAATGAATATGCTGTGCACAGTCCTTAAATACACTGTGGTGTTCTTGGCTGTTTCTCAGCCTCCCTGTAGACCTGGAAGTTGGCAACTGAGAAACAGCCAAGAAGACCACAGTGTATTTAATATCCTGACATACCCCAGAGGGGTCTGCCCAGTCCAAGGAAGTTGCTATTTCATTAACTAACTCCCAATTCCCCTTTTTCTTTTTTTACTCAATCAAGATGGGCACTCAAATCATTAATTTGCCCTCCATCCTGTTTCAGCAGCTATCTTGACTCACTTTTGTGTCCATGCAGATCAGCCTAATTAAAGTATGTTTATCACAGTGCCTCACCCAGGCTCTTTGTGTCCATGTAGATTTGGCTCACAATAGTGTAATCAAGGTATTTTCCCCATTTTTTCTGCTGAACTTTGACAGCAGTTAACTTTAAACCAGAAAGTGAGATTCAGATTTTTTATCTTGACCCAATCCAAAGCCAAGACGGCTAAAACTCTACTAGGGGTCTTCTGTCCATAGCAAATTGTTCCTCAGATCCCCAATCCAGATCTCTACTGGTCAGAACTCTGGTCTCTTTCGAAGAACCCCCTGCTGTGCTCTGCAGGCTTCTTTTCTCCCTTTCCTTCCCAATGCTCTGCTCTTTGGACCTCCACTGCATCTACTCCCAGAGTCCTCCAGACCTCAAGCCTCAGATTTAAAGTTGTATGGCCCTGCCCTAAAACTTCCCAATTCCCTCCCTTCAACCTTCTATAAGTGTACCCTCTTGCTGGTGTGTGTGTGATTTCTTAGTGAATCAGTTCTCAGAGGCTTGGTGTAGGTTCTTTACAGTTTTATGTCTTTTTATTTTATTTTGCATACAATAAAGCTATTTGTTTATGTTTACAATCTCTCACTGACTCTCTTCCTTCATAATTTTATTTTGGGGTACCCCTACTGAGATCCACCCTGATATACACAGACTACAAGGTCTCCTGTTATTCCTTTCTGGAGACCTTTCTAAAGTTAATTTCCCCTTCTCTGGGTCCATTTTGGGTAACAAGACATGCCCCAAAGTCCAGCCATGATAGCTATCAGTGTCAGAGAGCCCATTACATTAGGTCCTCTATGGACATTGAACTTTAGAGGGAATGGATGAGGAACAGTACAAATGATAGGACAGAAGGTGAGGGGGGGGGGGGGGGGGGGGGGACATAAAATTGTCCATACAAAATTAACTTGTGACTTTTTAAAAAAACATTGTACCCCTAAGAACTCCAGTCTTCCAAACCCTAAGAACTCCAGTCTTCCAAACAAACACATGATTAACTGCTGCATGACATGATGCCCAATCTGCAAGTAACATTCCTCTTTGCTACAAAAAGTTAAGGTCTTACATTATTTATAAGCTTCCACTCAGTTCCATTCTAAATACCAAATACCAAAAGCAGATGTCCAGTATAGCAAAAACAGCAGCACTTATAATAAACAATTATTTGCAAATGCACCACAAATATTATTACCTGCATGCCCATGGAGTGGAGAGTGTGGCCTTGGAAGCGTTGGAGACGTGCTAGAGGTCACAATCAAACTCTTTCTATTACTGGTCCGACAGCTGAAATAGAAGTAAACAGACAATTTAATAAGGGGCAGAAATGTTTTTAAAGGAATTTATAGCATAAGTTTGTATTGTTCAAAGTGAAGGATATATCTGATAACAATGGTTTCTGGATAAAACAATATGGGAAAATGTTATAATTTTTTTTGGTGACTACACAGGTGTACTAAATTGGTACCACAGTCACACCCATCTACCTACTTTGGCTCATTGTGTAGCCGTGTTCATGGTTCTGCTATAGAAAAACTCAAGAACTAAGGGAACAGAAATGGTAGGATTATTTTGTTTCATGTATGAAAGCTGCGGTGGCTCAAGTGGTTAAGACGCTGAACTGTAGGCTGTGGAAGGTCAGTAGTTCAGCAGTTCGAGACCCGAGTTGCCGCATGATGGAGTGAGCTCCCATCTCTAGTTCCAGCTCCTGCCAACCTAGCAGTTCGAAAGCAAGAAATTGCAGGTAGATAAATAGGTATTGCTTCAGTGGGAAGGTAACAGCGTTCCGTGTGCCTTGGTGTTTAGTCATGCCTGCCACATGACCACGGAAACATCTTCGGGCAGCGCTGGCTCTTCGGCTTTGAAACGGATGAGCACCGCAACCCTAGCGTCGGATTCGACTGGCTTTCGAGCAGGGGAACCTTTACCTTTACCTATGAAAGCTGTAGAGTGAAACTGGTTTGCTTTGGGAAATGGTTAGAGAATACTAGATATACTGAATATAAAATTAATTTTAAATCCTTAACAATATTAAAATAATATTCCCAAATAATTTCAAGATTTAGTACTATATACTTCCTGTAGCAATGTTAATCCAAGCTAAACTCTAGAAAATACTGGTGATTTCATCAAAATAAGGAAGGCTATTTAAAAATATGTGAGTTAGCTATTTTGGAGTATCATATCAAAAATCCAATGCAGAATATGTAAAAGACAGATAAGACTGCGTCCCCCTTATTAATATACCTTACAAATTTATGTATTAAAATACATTACGGATTATTTTCTGTATATTTATATTTTCTATGGTATTCATAGCACTGCTATCCTACCTTTCCATACGTTCAAGGCAGTTAGTTAACAATCAATTCATTACAAAATATGTTCATTTTAAAATCACAACTAGAACAGATACACAGCCAGCTTCCATAACTCTGCAATTCACTGCAGCATACCTTGAGGAGCTCCATTCAACTTCAAAGTCTGTACTCCAATCTGATATATCAGAATAATATCTCCAACCAATTGAAGGCTCTTACAAATTATACCTCCTCCTGCTATTAACCGTTTTGTGCTAAATTGCATCAACCATAATGGGTAGACCTAAAGTACTATTAGAAAAACAAAATTCACACAACAAATTTTTCCCATCTTCCTTTCCACCATAGCCCACTGACCAAGGTTCCCTTTAAGCTGCACTAGGATGCAGTGGCACACCAATTCCCCCCACCCAGCACACCAATTTTTACCTCAGTGCAGGGGTGCAAGGTTCCCTTCCCAATAGTCACATAGCACAGACTGGTTTGGTCAGGCAGCACAGAAGCCCAGCGGTATGATTTTTGTTTCCTAATCTGGCCTGGCCCAGCCTCCCCTCAGCTGAGGCTTGAATGCCCTATGAAAGGGGGTGCTGTTTCCCCACCCAGCAGTCCTTTCCTTCGTGCAGCTGGAGATCCCCTGGTCCAAGAGTTATCTGGAGGACTGCTGCCCTTCCTGAGGTGAGTCATCTGGTTGTTTGTTTTGTCTTGTGGGGGGTGGAGGTCAGGTAGAGGGCCCAGGCTGGGATCTGTGCAGGATCACCGGCCTTCAGTTTGCTGGGCAGCTGGGCGCCCTTCCTGCAGCCTGACACTGTTTCCCTTCCCTTTGGGTGGGGGGAGGGCTTGTATAGGCAGGAGAGGAGGTCAGCTGGAGGGCCCAGGCCGGGATCCGTGCAGGATTGCCAGCCTCTGGTTTGCTGGGCAGCCAGGTGCCCTTCCTGCAGCCTGGCAGCATTTTCCTTCCCTTTGGGTGGGAGGAGGGGTGCAGGGTTTGTGTGGGCAGGAGAGGAGGTCAGCTTGAGGGCCCAGGCCAGGATCCATGCAGGATCACTGGCCTTCAGTTTGCTGGATAGCCAGGCACCTTTCCTGCAGCCTTGCACCATTTTTCTTCCCTTTGGCCAAGTTTCTCCCTCCTCCAAGTCAAGCTTTAGGAAAAAGCACAAATGAACATATTTTTTCCTGTGGTTTTCTTCAATCTGCTATAAATGCTACTGTAAAATTTCAGTTCAGAATAGTTCTGTAAATTCCAAGTGGTCCCAGTTCAAGTCTCCTTGTAGATCTACTTTCTCTGACCAATATGCTTACCCTGTATGCCATTCCTTTTGACACTGGTCAAAACTGTGGCACCTAACCACAGAATGCATTTTCATGTTCTCTCTTATCTCACTTTATTGATAATAATAGTAATTTTGATATTGTTTTAAATTATTGGAAAAAGAGAAAGGAAGAAGAAAGCCTAAATTAAACTTTTTTCCATAATGAAACTTGATGATACTGTTCACAGAGATGATGTATAAATCAATTCTAAAATACAGTTTGAAAGAGTCATATAAGTAATACAAATATGTTCCATATAAATATAAAAAGGTTTAATATAAATATATGGTTTGTATTACAAATTATAATAGTTTATATGTTATGTTTGTATGTTTTGTATGCTTGTAAACTGAATTTTAAAGCTAGCACCATTTTTCCCCTTCTTGAAGATGGGGACAACTTTTGCCCGCCTCCAGTCTTCTGGTACCTCACCTGTTCTTCAAGAATTCTCAAAAATAATGCCTCCTCTCACCAGTGACCCTGCCTGCCTCCAAGGAGGAGCTACTTCTTATAGGTTTAGACTACCCCACACTGGACCACCAGAGAATTTAGGACTTCTATTTCAACGTTTTGTAATTCCTGTGCATGTATTGAATGGATTTTTGACAATACAAAAAACTAATTGGGTTAAGGACACATAGTTTTCCCTTTTAGTTTACTGCACAGAGGAAGGGGGACAAATGCCATCTTCCTTATTATTTGGAACAACAGAGCCATACAACATAGGACTAGCAATGCTGAATCAGACCTATGGTTCATCTAGCCCAGCATCTTGTTTCCAACAGTGTATAACCGGATACTGCAGGGAAGCCCACAAAGTAGGACCTGCTGCAAATAGTACTCCTCTGGTGACTGCTACTAAGCATCTGACAGTCAGAGGCTTGCTGCCTCTTAAACTGTGGGACCACATTTGGCTGCCAGGGTTGATATTCTATCCTACATAAGTTTATCCTACACAGATCTCTCCAAAACTCTTTTTAAATCTACACCACATCTCATGGCAATGACTTTCATGGCCAACCAGTTTCATATAGTGACTCCATAGGAAAAGAAGCAAAGCTTCTATCCACTTTCTACACCATTGATCGTTGTTTTTTATTTTTATTATTATTATCATCATCATCACCATCATCATTATTATAATTATTATTTATTGATCTCTATGATGTCATCCATTAGTTGCCTTTTTTAAACTAAAAAAGCCTTTTGTAAAGATCCCTAGCATGGAAGTTGCCATTTGAAAAAATTGGAGATTTTTTGTGAGCTATCCACAATAACCCAAGACCTTTTTCTTGGATTGTCATCACCAGCACAGACTTCATCAGTATATATGTGAAATTAAGATATATATATTTTTTGCCCAATGGACATCATTTGCCTTGAATTTCCTCTGCCATTTCATTGCCCATTCACATAAGAAGCCCCCTGCTATATCAGACCAGTGGTCCACCTTGTCCAGAATAATGTTACATATAGTGGCCTATCACTGGTTTCCACAGATCACGACACTCACTAGTCGTCTAGAGTACAGGTCACCGCATCCAATATTACGTTTCTCCTTAAGAGTGAGAAAGGGGGCAAAGGTCTTGCCAGATCTTATATGCCAGCATTGTTGTAAAGCACATGCAGGAATAAAATGACAAGAGATAAGACCCTCCATTCTGCCTCTTTAACCCCTCTCTGTGTAATGTGTCACACTGCTACAGTAAACCCACAATTCCTCTATGGACTCAACTTGCAAAAGAAAAATGTGACTGTCACTACTAGACTATTGAAACTCATAGACAAAATCAGTTAGCATTATTCACAATGTTTCAAAGATGAAAACAAATATTTACAATTTTTTCTTCATAATGGACAAGTCTAAAATTGACAATCTTATGAAAGCACCAGCTGCACTGGAAGTTATAGCTTCTGATTATAGTAATTTAGAGATGGAAGCAATTTTGTCAGCAATGGCATCATTGACAACAGGAATAATTGAGTCCTTCAAGATAAGAACAAGCAAACATCCAAAATATACGACTGTAGCCACTTTCAGCATTTGTATGGTAACTGTCCTGGAATAAATGAAACTGTTAATATGTATTCCATAGTCTGTATACTACTATTTCACAAACCAGTGTGCCACATACACGTTTTCACTAGCAGGTAAAAACTGCTACATGGGCTTTGATCAGGCCATGTCAAGTAAGTCAAAGGCTACAGGGATAAAGAAGTAGGGTTCTTTTCCCTTTGAAAAGTCAACAGCTTTGAAACATTAATATAACTCAGTCCCACATCCACCATGAACCAGGTCCCTTACAAAGTAAGCATTATGTCAGTAAACCTGGAAAATAATTTTGTGTGGTATTATTTATTATTTCTTTACTTACAAAAAATTATATCCTGCCTTTCTGCCCTTACATAGGTCACGAAAGTGGCTAACAATTTAAAATCTATACATTATAAAACCATTAAAATAAAACCCTCTCCCAAACATACCTAGGGATGCCAGCCACAAAATGGGACCTGGGGATCCCCTGGAATTACAGCTCATCTCTAGACTACAGAGACCAGTTCTTCTGGAGAAAATGGATGCTTTAGAGGGTGGATTCTATGGCATCATATCCCACTGAGGTACCGGTCTTCCCCAGGCTCCATCCTCAAATTTCC